CGGTATTTCTTTACACACAAACTGAAAGATTGACACAAACTTTGACTTCACTTTAGCTTAAATAACTGAAGCAAAACTGTTGCACATTCATTTCTGTCTACCGGCCAATCTTTTAAATCAACTAACTATCTCATTGTCTCTATTTTAATTCCTTCCTACGTAGAGCTGAGGCAACTAGATGCATTAGAGATAAGTCGACAGACACAACATTTGAAAAAGTTGGTATCTTAGCAAGCAGCTGCATGCACATTTCTGCAACTGATATGTCACTGTTGCTTGCAGTGTTGCAACAGAAACAATACAAATATAAAACAGGATCCACCAAATCCATATGCTAAAATCACATAACCTGCTAGATTACATTGTTCCCTCTTCATTGTTTTCACAGCTGCAAAATTATAGAAAAAACTCTAGAAGCACTCTTCTTATTATGACAACAATCAGACTTCCCTTGAAACTGTACTAAGATAAAAACACAAACCACACTAACATTACAGAGACAATAAGGGTTACTTAAGGTGATAGTAGATGTGTAATGTGCTGTGGTGTCTCTCTTTCTCCCTTGTCTCCACAGGTAACTTTACGCTCAAGTGGTCTCAGCAGGGCAGCAGATCAATTGCTGGGGGGGGGGGAAGTATCCATTTCCCAGAGGGCCGTTGTGGACGTGTTAATGTCTCTCTGTACGAGACATGTTGTGTTGTGTCTTTATTTGTGTTTATGAAATACATTTTGTGATTTACGGGAAATCTACTCATTTGTTTACGACATAAATATCGCATTAGAAACAGTTAAGAGAGCTTATTCGTGCATGGCTACACTACAATTCAAAAGGTAAATAGTGTACTTTTACTCCACTACATTAATGCATTATCTTTAGTTACTTTGCACATATAGATTAATGGTAAACAATATGATCAACACCTAAATAACACTTTACACATGTAGTAAAGTTCACAAGCTACCCTGCAGCATAATTAAAACTAGCTGCACCTTTACCAGTTTGACAACATTTGAATGCATCAATAATTATAATCAAAACATATTATATATTATTCTGAAATAGGCAATAATTAGTAGTTCTACTTTTGGTACTTTACGTATATTAACATGCCAGACTTCTTCACCTCCCCTCATCCCCTGGACTATCTGGAAACGCACCAAGCTATTTGCTCTGATATGCTCTGGTTATATAACTCAAAGGGGTGAAGTTCAACCACAAACATGCCCCTGGACAATGACCTACCTTACATCATTACACTAATGTACTCTCCTTACACATTTTAAAGCCTTTTGTGTGTTTATTTGGTGACTAATAAGCTCGGTTGGTGGTGTCATTTCTGCTTCACGTTATTTGACATTTGACGTTATTTTAGCATTATCAAACGACTGCTGGCAGGTCTGCAAGTCAGCCTTTACAATAACAGAGATTGCATTGCCCCAAAATAAACATTTAAGAACACTAAATAACTTGGAAATATCTGCAAAGTAGCTCCATTGACAAGCTAGCTTTAGCTTATGACTGTTAGCTGGTTACCCTAAATGAACTCTCACCCATTTCTCCCAAGAAAGACAGCGCTAAACAGCAACAACAAAATGCGGACAAAATACAGACCTCAGAGCCTCTACTCTGCTTCCATGCCTTCATTTGATCGGTAGATTTATCTCTGTTGTCAGCCATGTTGACAGCTCAGAGTTACAGGACGTTTAGACGTCAAAATGCTCGGTAGATGTTGCAGGAGAAACTGTTATCGCTGTTGTCCCCGATCATTCTCGAGCAATTCTTCCTGGACTTTGTTCAATTAGGCCCCACCCCCGCCCTCAACCCTCTTTTCTGATTGGCTGAAGAGAGGAAGCTGACCTACTTTTAGGACAAGATGATAAAGCACCAAACCAAAGATGATGAACACAATAAACCTTTTTATAATACCCTCTTGCTCAGATTTCAAACCATTGTTTCATTGTGCAAGTCCTAAAAGTGACTGTCTTGAAGATCAGGTGATAAAGGCAAGCAGAATCTACTGTACCTCTGTAATATCATGTCATATTGCGCTTTGCCAATGTTGGAATCTAACTTAAAGGTAGGGTATGTAAGTTTGAGAAACCGGCTCGAGATCGCTAGAATTTGAAAATACACAACCGGAGAAAATCTGCCACTTCCTTACAGCCCCCTCCTCCAACACACACGAACGCGCACATGACCAATGAGGGCACGAGATAAGTTTGTGCACAGATGGAAGGCTGACAGGCAGGTAGGCCATCCAGTTATTTTAGCCGGGCCGGCTAAAATGATTGGTCGTACTTTCTACAGTATTACGGCTTCCACAGATGACATTTTTTAATGGATTTTTTGTCAAAGCACTTAAGATATTCATTGCTATCGGGATGTTAAGAGCATTCCATGGAATATAACAAAAAGTGTATCTCGAGCCGGTTTCTCAAACTTACCTACCCTACCTTTAATAGATATATTTACTTACGGTACTAGTACAAGGATGAAGTACAGTTGAGGTGCTTTTACTTTACTTGAGTATCATAATATATGTTATGCCTTTCTATAATTATATTCCACTACATCTCCCGGGCACTTTGCAGACTTAAATTAGAAAAGCAAAATATAAAGTAACTAATAAATAATTATGTGTTACAGGTTAAGCTCTGCAGCTGTATTAATTGAAATTAGATCCACTGTTACCAGCTGAAAGATTTAGGTTATTTTGGAAATTATGCAAATGAGAAGTTTTACTTTTGGTACTTAAAGTTGAATGTAATGGTAATACTTGTTCCCTTTTATTTAACTAACGTTATTTTACTTATAACAGGCTATTGTTGCACAGTAAATTGGCTACATTTACTAATTTTGAAATATGAAATACTCAATACTCCTTCCAACACTGTGTTTTATTGCTGCATATTTCAAAAGAGTTCAATAAAAATAGCCCAAAGCAGTTGACCAGCACCTATATACAACATAGTTCACTCAAACAGCTACAAACAGGCCTACAATCCTTCTCTCAGATTACAGAAATTCCAGGTCAATCAAACTAAATAAACACATGAGCAGACTTTTACTGTTGAATTGCTTTTATTTCAAACAGCATTCACACAATACACTGTATTCTTGAGGCACATTCACATCAAGTGCTAAATAACTTCATGCATGGTTGAATGTAGGCTACAGCTTTGTTGAATGCGAATGCTGATTGTAAATGAAAATATTGCTTTGTTATTTGGCACAGTAGGAAATATTGTCCTTTATATGACCACAGATGTGTAATTTTTGGATTGATTTTTAAAAGTGAATTGAAGAATAAAATGAGAACTTGACTAAAAGTGTAGACTAGGTTCTGCTGGAATAAAACAAATATCACAACAGTGCGAAAGGCTGATGATGCTTTTAGCAGATATTTCAGATGATATTTCACATTCGGAAGTTACAATAAAACAGCACTATTGCACAATGTTGTAGAGAATATCTCAGATAACTAAAGCTACCTTGAGATTTTGACTTTTACAAGACCCCTGTCACTCTATCATCATTTAAATAGCAACACTTTTTACAATATTACCATTCAGGCTTAAAACTACAAAGTGGCACCTATGGGTTTTAACCAGGTTAGCCCTCAGTGCTAATGAGACGTTTGCAGCTAGCTTAATGACGAAAGCTTAAATGAGTGTGACAAGTGCCTGGTGAAAAACAACAACAGATTAATTCAGAATATCAAGGTGTTTCCTCTGAGACAAAAGGAACTGTAAACCCATTTAAAAGGGTTAGTATACTTTACATCACAAGTTAAATTCCCAGAGGTGTTTTGATATTAATTCAGCAACAACATTAGTGTTAAATAGAGTGTTGTGGAAATGACCTTGGAGTCTAATAAAGTTGTAATACTATGAAAAAGATGAGTTGCACCCAGATTTTGAGTAATTAAAAGACATTGAGAATAATGTTGAAGTACACAATTTACACTGTTAATTATGCGTATGCAAGTTGTATTGCATTAATCATGGGAAAGATAGAACAATGTAAACTTATATTTAAATGCTGATTACATCTGATTTGGCCACCCTGTAACAACTGCTACAAATTACAATTATTTCACCTGGATAAGAGTACCTGGATTTTATTTTTTTCAAAAGCACAATAATATACATACCAAACCAAAAAAAACTACCAAAACCTCTATTATTTGTCAATCTCACTATCAACAAATGACACAAGCAAATCCAATAGAGCTAGCTCGGCTCAAAAACCGCTACGAAATCAATCAAGGAGGCGCAATCAATGACTGGTTTGAAAAGACAAATGAGTGTTTTCCTGAAAGAGAGGAGATTTAATTCCACTGTCCAGTCGCTCACTATAAAAGGCTACAACCAGAGTAGGCACCATGCAGAGAGGGGGTTACGTCTGCCTAGGCTGGGCTCCTTTCAATAATTAAAATTCACATCAAAGTCCACGCTATAGGATATTCAAATCTGGATTTTTGAGAATTTAATAGATATCCACTTCTCATGTCTCCTCTGCTGTTTTTTTAGATTGAGATTCAGCTCGATTATCAATCCAAGGGGAGTAAGACAAAAACGAATTACTTTTATTGTGAAATTTGGGATTTGCACTTGTATTTGGAATATGCAATGCTGCTTCTTAAATGCCAGCCTTACCCATAATGCACCCAGGCCAGAATACAGCAGAATACTAAGGAAAGATATGTGTATAATTGATCCATGGATCCATAAAAACACCCTGTTCAGAGTCAAACACTGGCTTTTTCAGATTCCTCCCCCTCACATGAAGATAAGCTGTTTACTCCAATTCGATACTCACAAAGCTCTTATCTTACTAAAACATGAAACCGCCTGGCACCCAATAAGGGGAGAGGTGAAGAAGCAAGTGTTTTTACTTGAAACAGGTTGTGTGTGTGTGTGTGTGTGTGTGTGTGTGTGTGTGTGTGTGTGTGTGTGTGTGTGTGTGTGTGTGTGTGTGTGTGTGTGTGTGTGTGTGTGTGTGTGTGTGTGTGTGTGTGTGTGTGTGTGTGTGTGTGTGTGTGTGTGAGGCCTAGATCCTGCGCAGAGGGTGCCACATAGACACGGGCTTCCTCAGCGTGGCGAGCATCTGTTTCCAGTGGGTGATGCCCATCCCGCTGGCCTCGGGGCCGATGATCACGTGACCCAGGTTCTCGCCCCGGCCGTCGTCTGTGGCCTCGGCCACCGTCACCCTGAGGGAGAGCTCCTGCAAACAGAACAACACGGTTACACAAGCTGCTGTGTAAGCATGACTCAGCAGCTTCTCTGCAGTGTGATCTTTATGGAGTTGGTTGAATGTGTATTAACAATATTTGCTATTTCTTATTGTTTTTGGCATTTAATCGCATCATCTTTTATGTGCATTTAATTATATTACTGTTTGGCTCATTTAGTTAATAGCCAGAAGTGTAAGAGCAGTAATATCCTAATGCTTGAAATCATTAATAGATTAATCCATGCTTTCAAAATACACTTTTTAAGAGCAGGAAAACTTAAACAATGTTTTCATGCTTATATTAATACTTATATTTACTGCTCTAAGGATTTAGGTCTACTACCCTCTGCCTGAATACTCAAGTATTCAAAAAAGCAGGAGTCGAGGTCAAAGTTAGAATAATTTGAACTTTGAGCACATCGCTAATTTGAACTTTGAGCACATCGCTCTGTGGACCTTTTGAGCGGCTTTAGTCCTGGTACTCATTCTGTATCTGTTCTAATTTTGCTTTATTGTATTATTATAGTATATAAGATTATGTTTCACATTGCTTAAGTTTTGAGCACAATGACACAAAAATATACCGATCTATAATGTCGTAATGTCCTTATTTCAGGTATGTCCTTTTTTACAAATACCTCTTTTGAGATAAAATGTTCTCTCTTGTTTTTGGCTTTTGTCAGCTGCATGTGCAAACCACCTGTATTGTAACCACACAACGGTTCATGCTTTTTTTTTTAAATAATTGAATAACTGTTGTGAGATATCTATTTTCATTGCTGGTTTATTATTCTGTTCTTGTTATCACATTTTAATCTTTTTCCATGACCTGAATTCCTCTTGGAGATTAATAAAATGTAATCATGGTGCAATATCACCTGCAGGACGAGGGAGGGCACAGAGAAGATCATGGCTTCGTTGAAGATTGGGTTTGTGTCGTCCCGTTTGGTGGAGGTCTTCTTCTTACTGATCTTCTTGCCGTCTTGCAGGAGATACACTTTGACAAACGGATCTGATAACGAGAGTGCACATATATGATTAGGAGTGCATCTAAAGCTTCTAAAACTTACACACACACACACACAACACACACACACACACACACACACACACACACACACACACACACACACACACACACACACACACACACACACACACACACACACACACACACACACACACACACACACACACACACACACAATAAAACACTGCTCATTAAAGAACAATCAATTAGAAGCACAGTGTTGTAGACACACTTAGCTCTGGAGATGATAATGTGAGTGACCTTTATCTGTAAAATGTGGCACTAATCTGGACATTTAATGTGATAAACACGTCATTTAAGTCCTATCTGCCTGTCTGGATATAAATAAATGTATCCTCTGGGAGATTACATTAAGTGTATGTTACTGCTGAATGTGTGTTCAATGTTATTAATCAAAGGTTATGAGTGGTTTAAAAAATGTATTTAAAGACAGACAGATTTATTTATAGTTCATACAAAGTGTAACCATTACTCAGGTAGTTCCCATTCATCCATATTTACAAAAAAGGGCAAAATCACACACAGAAAACCGGCAAACCTGCAGTGTTCTTGCTGTTTGTCCACTGCAGGTTTTTGCACTTTGCCACGACCACCGTGAGGCGCTCTGCTGTCGGCAGATAACTGAGAGACAACAGGATCTCCCCGACGGCATCCACGGCCTGCGAGTCACAAGAGCATGGCAGAGATTATATAACATTTCATGTGTATGTTTAATTTAGTTATCTACGTTTTTTTTTTTATTCTACAATGTAATTGTTAGGAAATGTAATGAAATGTGCTTATTTTAATGATCCGTATTATCTGTTGAATTGTTTTATTGCGCATTATCTAAATGCAGTTTTAATGAAGCAAGGTTTAATAGCTTTTCAAAATTGCTTAATGTAGTATTTATGATAATTAAACATGTTACAGAACTTTAATATTTCCCTTGCCATACTGCAGGCCATGGATACTGTTCCTGATTTAAATAAAGTGAGTGAAAAAGTCATTTTGTTAATGAGGTTGATGGAGTCTTTGTAAGGACTTAAATGATCCTGCAAGGTTGTTTGCAGTCGATTGATCTCAACAGAGAGAGTGAACTGGTAGATCAGTTCTGTTTGGGATACAGCTTAGCTTCTTATTTATTGCATTCAACTTGTAGTTTTGCTGAATGTCCAGCATGGGGCTCTCACACACCTCAAAGCTATTTTTTTTGTAAAAGCAGAACATGTCATACTGGAATATAGACACAATTAGATGATCTGTAATCATTCCATTCAATTCAAGGCTTTATGGAAATGTGTACATTAGCTACAGTGTAGATATGGCAATGAAAAACTTAGGTCACACAGGCTCCTCCAACAGTGCAACATATATGACATAGAACAAATAAAACAGATAAAATAGTGCAAGTAAATACAAATAAAATAGAAATAGTGCAAGAAGTATCTATATACAAGTACATGGTACCATCATACTAATGCCATTTGTTTTAAACTCACCTTGTTGACATCCTGAAGGTAGAGCCAGGCGTTGAACGGTCTGATGGTCAGGTCCAGGTCGGACAGTTTGAGATCTGCCACCCCCGCACTGATGTTTCTCTCCTCAGCATCGATACCGAAGGCGGCACAACGCAGACTGTACTCCTCCAGCAGGGACGAGTCCATGGGGATGGAGAAGTGCTCGTCAAAAAGCACTGTGTATGCATTCGCCTGGATCTGTGAGAGGCAAAAAATGATTCAAATGTTAGAATGTATATATGTATTACTTGTTAGATTCACCTCCCAGATATTTGACTTTTAAAGGGAGGTCATCTGAGTTTCAGTAAGTTGATTGCTACTTATTATTATCACAAATCAACACAGATGTAATTAAAACTCTTGCACATAAATCACTGTTTAAGATGAATGACAAGAATCAGGCAATAATTTAACTTAGAAAAAGAAGATGTTGTGTAGGCATTAAAATCTGTTATTCTATTCCTGACTCACACCACTTCCGACTTTAAATCAAACTTTTATATCTATTAGTACTTTTAAAGGGGTTATTTCACCCTTCACCCTGTGTGTTCTCACCCTTAATACAAAGGAGGCCAACATAAACCCATAAAGCTACTGGCGGTATCTCAGTAATGTCATTTTGCATCATTTCTTTTTCTTTAAAAAAAAGACCAATTTGTAATGCTGTAAGCAACACAAACTTAATTGTATGCACCGTTTTTTTATTTGAACAGAGCTGTTTATAAAACAATCTGTTGATGCTTTTGTTGCACCTGTGATTACTTTGTGGACAAAACGGCAAGCCTGAGGCCTGTACTATGAAGCCGGATTTTCACTTGGCGAGCTAACTTCAGGGAAAACTCTGGGTTTCCGGTCCTACGACGCTGGTTCACTTCTTAGCGGGCTAGATCTCCATGGTAACTTATGCTGAACGGCTAGCCAGAGGCCTGTACTACGAAGCCGGTTCAACATAACCTGGATATGTTTGAGTTACCCGGCTTACCTAATCCAAAACAAACGCGCTCTCGCTAAGCGGTCCTACGACGCTGGTTATCAACTCGTTAACTCAAGTCAGCTTTGCCCTATCTAGTTATGTGCACGTTCACATACACAACCTGGTCCGGAGCAGGTTAGGTTGCAGGCTAAGAGATCAACTCAGTGAAAGCCTGCTGACCAATCAGAGCTCAGTGTGCGGAGTTTAAAGCGATCAAGTCATATTACAAGGAAATACAGAAAAATTGCCGTTGCAGGAAAGACGGCCGGCAAAAATCAACTGACTGTGTGAACGTGAAAATGAATAGAATATCCCCTCCCATCTTCAGAGCAATCTGACTATTATAATATTAGCGTTAAGAAAGCTTACTTAAATATCTGCCACAACATAAGTAACCGGATCAAAGTAACATTACGTACAGTCCGCGGCACTGTGAGTGCAGACGTCGATGTGTCCCATTATCATTCATATCACATCATATCATAATGTATCATATATTTCCTTATCTGAGTCAGCTTCTTGAGCCGTATCTGGCCGTGCAACACTCAGTGTCACATACTGTATGCAGAAGTATTATTTTAAGCAACACATTAAGTTGACACTCGAGTCAAATGTAATTAAAGTCAGATCCACTCGTGTCTTAGACGGGGCAGTGATATCATAAACCTGTTAATGTACGCATTCAAACACTTTTTTTTACCAGCTGTATTCACCTCGTAGGTGCAACTATGTTGCTTTTAAGTGTTTAAGTCATGGATGTTTAAAGTTTAACTTCTTCATATTTGTCTAATATTATAGTTTTCTTTTCATTCAGGAAGTATGACGCTGCGCTGTCAGTACGCTTGTCCATGTTTGTGATTGGTCAAATGTTGCTAACCCCGCCCCTTTTATGTGAACGCGCACATAACTAGATAGGGCAAAGCTGACTTGAGTTAACGAGTTGATAACCAGCGTCGTAGGACCGCTTAGCGAGAGTGCGTTTGTTTTGGATTAGGTAAGCCGGGTAACTCAAACATATCCAGGGTATGTTGAACTGGATGCGTAGTACAGGCCTCTGGTCTAATACAATTTGAACTGGATCAATCTGGGCAATAAAAAACAAATTATCTCGGCTGGAAAAAAAATTCTGGGTAATTTGGTCGGGTAAAAATGCTTTCTTTTTAGAGTCGAATTGAATTGCACTGAGGTCAAAATCAGGAGAAACAATAAACCAAATATGCAAAATGTATATTGTGTATAAAAAATGTATACAAAAGTTTACCAGAAGAATGTCTGACATAATGAGTAACATTTCCGCTTTTCTAAGTTCCTTGATCAAAATGTAGTGTCTGAATTGCTTTCATTGAGTTCATGGAGTACATTTAAGGTGCAAGGTCCTGGCGGATACTTTTCACACCATGACACATTTCCAAACACATTCCTCCACTCTGCTGCTAACACATATACTGGATACTGTAAAATTGAAGACAACATTTGTGTTGTTTTTTTAGTCTTACAGCTTCAAAACCATGTGGAAACTGAATATTTTGTACAATTCCATTTAATTTCTTAGCAGCCAAACTACAACTTTTTCTTAAAATCAATAAGACATGTTTAAGGCCAGCAGGGTATACCATGTCTACTTTTGGCTGGTGAATGAGCATTGGATGTGATGCTAAGGCTGTTTTCAGGGCTTCTTACTTTAAAGCGACTCTGAATGGAGGGTCGGAAGTAACCAGGCAATAACTAAACGTGTAGAGTAGAGTGGCTTTAATAATAGCTATGTTTCATACCATGGTTGTTCTCGAAGTGTAAAATACAAAGAAGAACATTTCTGCTAAAAACTATACTTTAAAACAAATATAGTGAAATACAGAAAGAGAAAATAAAAGCTGGATGTGTGGAGTTGTTTTTGATAAAAATAGACCTCCTTATACAATAAAATGATTCCGAATTCAGAGCGCAGGGTGCAGATCAGCCCGAGAGGCCGACCTTGAATTGCGCCTCATAACAAAAAGATGAATAGCACCATAATCGTACATGCAACACCTTCAGAATACTAGAAAAGCTAATTCTGCTGTACAAATATGTACGCTAAGATATAAAGCATCGGAAGAAGGCTGTATCTCTCTGAGCGCGCAGCGTACAGACATGCTCTCCATCCACAATATGTCTTATGTGTCTGCACTGAGGCTTATCGCTCAGGGGGGATAAGAATGGTGATGTGCTGGGTGAAAATGAGGCAATACAATCTCAGACAGAGACTAGCGTGAGTGTGTGTGTGTGTGTGTGTGTGTGTGTGTGTGTGTGTGTGTGTGTGTGTGTGTGTGTGTGTGTGTGTGTGTGTGTGTGTGTGTGTGTGTGTGTGTGTGTGTGTGTGTGTGTGTGTATGTGTGTCATGTAGACAGAGGAAGGGAGAATGAAGGGAGAGTGGCATCCACATTATCACAGGCAAAACAAAGGGCAAGTAGCAGTGAAAGCTAATCAATGGGAAGAAAATAGAGAATAGGGGAAATGGGAAGAAAGAGGGAGTGATAAAGAGGGTGAAGAGCAAACAAACAGTGACAAGAAAAACAGAGAGAGAGAGAGAGAGAGAGAGAGAGAGAGAGAGAGAGAGAGAGAGAGAGAGAGAGAGAGAGAGAAAGAGAGAGGGAGAGGCTGGCTTGACCATAAGGGCGAGATAAGCTGATGTCAGCATTTCTTTGGTCTTCCCCACTCGTCGACATATTAAAGAGGGAGCCACAAAAGGCGCTGCTTCCAATATTATTACACCCCGCCTGGAAGCATTAACACGACATCCCAACATGCTCCAGAGCTACGTCTCACTGAGCAAATATAAAGCTTTAAGATTCAAACTCTACATATGCATTACCTGCAGAAACTCTACTTTAAAGAGTCCTCTCCTGCTGATGTTCAGGTGTATATCGGTATGTAGTGTCTCTACTTTAAAGAGTCCTCTCCTGCTGATGTTCAGGTGTATATCGGTATGTAGTGTCTCTACTTTAAAGAGTCCTCTCCTGCTGATGTTCAGGTGTATATCGGTATGTACTGTAGTGTCTCTACTTTAAAGAGTCCTCTCCTGCTGATGTTCAGGTGTATATCGGTATGTAGTGTCTCTACTTTAAAGAGTCCTCTCCTGCTGATGTTCAGGTGTATATCGGTATGTAGTGTCTCTACTTTAAAGAGTCCTCTCCAGCTGATGTTCAGGTGTATATCGGTATGTAGTGTCTCTACTTTAAAGAGTCCTCTCCAGCTGATGTTCAGGTGTATATCGGTATGTAGTGTCTCTACTTTAAAGAGTCCTCTCCTGCTGATGTTCAGGTGTATATCGGTGTGTAGTGTCTCTACTTTAAAGAGTCCTCTCCTGCTGATGTTCAGGTGTATATCGGTATGTAGTGTCTCTACTTTAAAGAGTCCTCTCCTGCTGCCTTGGTGAGTCTGTGTGCTGTCGGCCTGTAAACTACAACATTCACACGATGAAGAGGACTCGCAGCGAGGCAGGAATTAGAGCATTTTCTGGCGGCGTCTCACTACGAGCAGCAGGGGAGTGGCAGGTGGAGCAGATGGAGGACTGTGAGCTCTCTGTTCCTGAGAGAAGGTCACCTAATGTCAGATTCAAGCTTTTTATGAACATGTTTCAGTGGAGAATACCAAGAGAAGTAGCAACCAGAGATCAAAGAATCGTCGTTAGAAATTATGCATTATTAGAAGAGAAATACTCATGGTTATTGTAAACCATCCTTGTGGTTAAAGTGTAACTGCTTTTGAAGACAAAAATCACCAAGACATTTCTTGACTTAAAGGGGACCTATCATGCAAAATGCACTTTTGTACGTCTTTTATACATGAATATGTGTCCCCGGTGTTCCAGGGAACTCACCAAGTGTCAGAAAACACAACCCTCTCTATTTTCCTCCATACCCAAATCTCTAAAAAAGGGGCTGCAACGGATCTGATAAAAACTGATCCAGATTTGAACACTGTCCTGACGTCAGGACGGTGGCGCTACGGCTATTGGGCCAACTCCACCAATCAGGAGGAGACAGCCACGGCCATTGCCGTTCGAAAGCGCTGGAAACGCTGTAGTACATATGCCAGGCCTGTAGATGGTGCTGTTCTCACAGAATCAGCCCTTGCAAAAACAGAGCTAAAAAATGTCAAATTGAGCAAAATGAGTCATGGCTAAAAAGCAGTTAGAAAATGCTTCAGAAAAGACACAAATCTAACTGATGCAGTACAATGAATTACAAATTCTTCATGACATTTTAATATCAATTTAACGGCTGAAATTAAAGAACAAAAGGCAGTTCAATAATTATTTAATCATAAAATACATTGTAAAAATGAAATGTGTCGAAATGAGTGATTCAAATGATGATAAGTAGTAAGAGTCATTTACCACAAGTATTTTTTGTTAGATGTTTTACCTAAATATGCTACATATTGGGTTTCTATACATACAGAAAGCATGGTTTTGTGACTAGCAGCATAATTTTAAACATTTAGAGCTAAGTTAAATAAGAACAAATCAAAAACCAAGAATCTTTATGTGACAGTAGACCATGTATTATACATATCATTGTAATCTAAACTGCAGTTTAACGCAGGTTACAGGTGACATGCCAGACTGAGTGAATTCTAAAATCAATCACATCTCCTCCTGATGAGAAAACAGTCTCTCTGACGACATCCCGCTCCCAGGGGTCTCTCCACTCAAACAAATGAAGTAGGCTCACCGTCAGACCGGAGGATCACGACTGAAAGTTTTCACTGTGAAAGTAAAATATTTTAGTTTTAGATTGTTTTCCCAAGTCCCTTTTAGCGAGGATAGCGTATGGATGGTTTTCTCCACTACTTTGGTCCAGATTGAAAGATCTGTAGAAGTAATAGATGGATAACCATTAAGTTTGGTATTAATATCCAACACTATTTGTGTGTATCCTAATCACTGAACATTGACTTTTGGCTTCACACTGTCTCCTGGCTGAAAGTACAGTGTTTGTTTAGGTAAATACATTTTCCACAAAATGCAATTTTGTTGTATGGGATCAAACCTTTTAGAAGACAATGCTGGTCCACTAATTGTGTGTAAACTACTATTTCCGTGCTCAAAGCCTTTACATAATGAAAAAAAACAAACAATGCCTGTTCAGTGGTTCTCCTTTTCATTCCAGTACAAACACTGTGGCGGCTATATTCCCATGGAATACGGCCGCTCTGAGGCTAAACTTCACTCATTGTTGTGACGCGTATAAATAATAAAGTCTGTACTGAACTCAACGTTTTAAGGATATTTAATATTGTAAATCAAAACAATAAACAAACAGAATCATACGGTCAACAAAAGATATCAGAGCTAAGCTCACCCCCATTGTCATGCTACCAAACCTCTACATACACCAGGTGTCCTAAATACCATTAACCACACCCATGTGACAAACAAACAACCCATTACAAGTGTGTGTGTGGTGTTAACAAATAATGAAGATATTATAACTATAAACACAGGCTACCACAGCATTTTGGCTCCTACAAACACATTCGACCCAAAAGCCCACAGCCACCTCACCCTTGTGACTCCCAGGTTGATCTCGTCTGGTCCCAGGGAGACTCTGATGAAGCAGCCGGGGAAGTCTCCCTCCTCCCTCTCCAGCAGGTCTTTGCCCTGGTGCAGGGTGACGTGCAGAAGCCCCGCCCCCTGGCCCGGCGGCCTGGATGGCTCAAACTCCAGCGTCACCTCCAGCTGGCCCACCGTGAAGTCATGGCCGAAGTTGTTGGCGATGGAGGAGATGGAGCTGAGCGAGTCGGTGGAGATGGAGCGGTTCAGCTGGGCCAGGCCGGAGGGGTCCAGCTCGCGGCTCATCAGCTCCAGCTGGCCCAGGTCCCTCAGGACGTCCGGGGTCTCCCCAAACGCCAGGCTGGGTTTGCGGCTGGAGGTGGTGGAGGTCCGCCGGTGGTTGTTGGCAGCCACTCGCTTCAGAAAGGAGAAAAGTAAGGGATGAAGAAGTCAGAAATTGATTTCTCTAAAAGCATGAGATGTTTTTTTTCAGACGAGCATGCACCTTTTGTCTGACTTCTGAGAAGGACGTTCCATATTTTTCTTGCAGGTATCGATAGTCAAAGTTGGGGAAAGGGGACGGAGCAGGGAAGGTTCCAGATTTCCACAACTTCCAGATGTTGATCCCGGCAACGCACAGCAGCACCAAGAAGCCCACCACGTAGATCCCTACCTCCCAGCCGTGCGGGTGACGCACCACTGAAACAAAAACACAAAATAAGTGATCCTTATTACCATTTCATCAATAAAAGATCATGTTTGGCCCCATAACTAAATATTTGATGGGGGAGTTTGATCACTGGTTGACAGTTGGGAGAAACGCAGTGTAGAAAGTTGGAAGAAACTTTTTATATAAAGACACAAGTAGGAGTCTTCACAAACTCAAAAACAGTGGTGGAAAATAGTACATTTGTAAGTACATTTACTCAACTATAGTACTTACACTTTTTAAATATGTGTAGTTTACATGAGTATTTCCATTTTATGCTCCTTTATACTTCTACTGTACTTCACTTCAAAGGGAAATTGTGTATTTTTCCTCTGCTATATTTAGCGGACGTGATAAACTTTTAACATAATGCATCCATCAAACCAGTGGAAAAACTGTTTGAGTTAGACAAAAGTTAAACTATCATATATATCACAAAAAGTTAAGAAAGAATGTCCTAAACATGAATAATGTGTGAAACAAATGTTGTCTGCAACAGTAAAATTATACTTGATAATCTTATAATGTCATCTTACCTTGTTTTATTCACATATGGAGGGTTTTTTTTTTCTGCAGAATGAGTACTTTTAAATGTTTACACTTTAAGCACTCTTAATTAAGTTAGATTTTGAATGTAGTACTTCTACTTAAAATGGAACATGTTAACATTAACCTAGCTGTACTTTTACTCAAACAAAGGATATAAATACTTCTACAGCACTGAAAACTCACAATCACTGAGCGCAGTCAGGTCTTGTTATTTTACACTGAGCATTGAGATGACTGGAGGAGTTTAAGGGATGCATGACGTTTGATGTAATAGTTCGGGAGAAGGTGACAAATTGAAAAGTCTCTCTGAATTAAACGTCAGAGCATCATGTTGCGTTTAAGAGAAAGATTGCGAGCCTGTGTCGAGCTGACTTAAGATAAATTGCTTCTGTGGGAGGAGACTGACAGCTTTATCTCTGCTTTTTAACACAAGACATAAGCCAATTATAGGGCAAGTCAAAATGTGTTGTAACTTTGCTGGCTTTCAGCAGGAGAGCAGGTCAGAGGAGTTGTGCAGCTTGTTTAAAAAAGGGCAATAGCTGTAAAGCAACCTGAGAGCAGAAGCTAAGGTACACACAGCCTCGTCTCTCTAGTCTGATACACACACTCACTGATTTACAACAATGTGGATCAAACAATATGCATTAACCGACACAAGGACACAATGCAGAAAGAGACAAATAAGCTGAAACTACTCACCGCTCAGATGGTAGCCTGATAGATCCCCACTTTCAGCGGAGGACATGGTGCTGCAGCCAGCCTGGAAAAACATCAAAACAACAATATGTTCAAGTGGCCTTTAATGTCAGATAGCCTACCACAAGAAAGATTTGGTCTTAAAAAAAACTGTACCTTATAAAATATAACAGAAAACTTCATCCATAATGACATTTGGGTGACTTTCCTCTAAAAAACATTGAATATTAAGCTACAATTACAACAATAAATTATGTTTTGCAGAATAATTAAATAACGTTTTAATACTAAGTATTAGCAACAGCTTTTAAAAAACCGAAATGTTTTAACCTTCTAATCTATGCTTTCAACATGCATCTCAGTAAACACGGCTAAATTGAACTGCTTTTGGCCACAGGGCGATGCCGTGGGAAGCTAACGACTCCTGACATCCTGCTGCTTCAGATACATTACAGGATGGGAACATGCACAATAACATGCATGCACAACAAGGGAAGGGTGAGGGTTTTCTGGTTGTGGTTTGGTTAGGTTTAGACCAGGGGTGTCAAACTCAAATACACAGTGGGCCAAAATAAAAAAATCGGTACTAGTCGAGGGCCGGACTGGTTCAATGTTTATTGCAAAACGTATTGAAATGAACTTATTGCACATATTAAACCTGGAACTAACAAAGCTTAAATTATTGCCTATAAAAACAACATTAAACATTAGACATTAAACATCAGAGTCATTTATTATGAGTACATTTTTCCACAGGCCAACAACAGCTTCAAAAAAACTATTTCCCTCAAAGAACAAACCAAACATGCCCTGTTGTCGCAAGAACAAAAGTGCAGAAGGAAACATCCATTGAAACTCAGTTTGCGGCTCCGTGATGCTAGTTCAAGCCAGATACTTGGCATCTCCTCTTGGGTGCAAGTTCATCAATGTTTGGGGTCAGGCTCTGAGCGGAGGAAACCCTCAGGATTGAGTGAAGGTGTGCGTGCAATATACCGGCGGGCCAGATCTAATAGTAATTAGAAATTATCCTGCGGGCCGAAATTAAAACCACCAAGGGCCTGATTTGGCCCCCGGGCCTTGAGTTTGACACATGCGATTTAGACAATAAAAATGCCTGGTTAAGGTTAATGTAAGATCGTTGGCATTGGTCTAAAAGTGTACTCCAGCAAATTAGCATTTCACGTAGCTAACATTGTTGGATTCACATTGGACTGGATGATAAAAACGATCAAGACAAATATATTATTTTGTTCCCCCATGCATTCTTGTTCCTCATTAAAACCTGGTGCCTTTATCACCCACAATGCAACTCGACTGCTGATAGTTTGTCAGGGATTCAGGGGGAGTAATGCTAGTAGCCTCTAACTGCTTGCCTTATGTAAAGATCCGCTACAGATGTCCATTAAGCTCACTCTCTCGGCTCCCGAGATTTATTTTCATATTTAAATGTTTAGACTTTAATCTCTACTGACGCTGACATCACTTAAAGGACATCACTTGAGCCAATGTATCAGACTTCCTGCTCACTCTGGAGCCTTCAAAATGTTATATAGCTTTTTTATGCAGTAAAACTCCCCAAACCCTTTTAAACAGACAACATGTTGTGAACTGTAAGACTTCATACATCTATCATCCTTCCTAAGATGTTAACTGTGTGTACGGCAACATTATAGCCTACTACTTATTTTTCCTGGATGATAAGCATACACAGTAATTTGTCTGAAACAGCAAGGGCTGTTAGAGATGAACCTGTCTCTCTCATATTATATTGTTGCATCAATTCAGTTGTCTTGTGTCTTCTGTCAGAGAGAAACCATTATTTATTTCATTCTATTTTTACCTCCTTGTGTCTGTTAACCTGATAAAATGTTGTATTTGACTGAATGTACCTGTGGGGTTCTTGACGGATGGTCTGGGGAGAATTTCTTGTTGTTTGTTTTTACCTTGTGATGTTTCATTTTGTAAAGCACATTGAGATGCATGTGTTGTATGAAAAATGCTATATAAATAAAGCTTTATTATTATTATTATTATTATTATTATATTCTACAAATCTGACTACTGACCTTTTAACAGCAGCATAGATTGAATGTGTGTGTATTGTGAAGACATACTATAGTTTCTAATCTTACTGCTGGGATGAAACATACATTTAATCACTTCCCTACTTCTGCTTACGGTACACAGCTTGAGACAACACAATGATTGTAAGAAGCAGCAGAGGCTGTTTTTTAAAGACTAAACCGAACCACATCTTCCTGCGCAGCTCTCTTCCTCCGCAAAGTGCAAAATATAAAAAGACTTTGGGCGCTGGCATGTGTGACTCATTCCTCCGCCCAACCTCCCCTCCTGCTCCCTACACTTGTTGGAATATCCCCATATCTCGAGGGAAAAGAGAGCATTACACTAATGATATAGAAAGAAGACTGGAGGGGGGGCTGGCGGGGGGTTTTGTAAACGCAATTATGCTGAGCGCTTTGCGGACCACAGCCATGCGGGCCAATTAAAGTGGCTGACGCAGTGCAGGGCCACTGACAGCTGCTAGTGTGCCCGTAGAAAAGCATGGGAATCTCTCACAGGGAGGGATATGTGACCACCAACAACACCCCCCCCCCCCCCCCCCCCCCCCAAAAAAACTCAGCATCAGCTTGGACTGGCTTAACATTTGAGGTTTGAGGAGGTTTAGAAGAAGGGAGAAGAAGAAAAGAACAAATATCAAAGATGGGGAGGGAAGTACACAAGAGACAAAGAGAGATAAAAGAGAACAAGGCAAGACAGATTTAGTAAATAACAATGAGGCAGCGTGGGCGCTTCAGCGGGCTTAAGATAGCAGAATACTCACAAAGAAGTCTAACATGCCTAGAAAAGCAATGTATTTTAAAACACAAGGCACACTCATTTTGAAAAGTCTGTTTCAGTTCAGTGCCATGGAGGATTTGGACATCATGAGCTCAGTCAACAAAGTGCAATCATACTCAAATCTCACACTTTTGTTACAAAAGCAGATATTGTTTGAGTTGTCAATCATAAAAAAGATGCATATGATACTTTCTTCTGATAGAAAATAATATAATTTAGGATGTGAACTTTGCTGCTGCCTTCCACCTTCTCTTTCCCCATTTCCACTATCATCAACTAACAAATAGCATCTTTCTTTCTTGTATTTATATATCTAATAAGGGACAATGCACATGCATTTTTCATCTGCAGTCCCAGACAGGTTGATGGCATTAAAAGAAAACATACATGAGCATAGGCACAGACAAAGCACATGAGCAGAAGTGTTTCAGATAGTGTGTTAAAGGGAACCTATTGTGCCTTTTGGGGTTTTCCCTTTCCTGTCAGGACCTCGACACAAACTGATGAACCCAAATGCACGACCCAGAGACAAAGTCTTGAATATAAAAAAAGGTATATTTATTTTTCACAGTGCAGGTAATCCCTCTTAACAGAGTAGGTGGTGGAAATAACAAAAGGCGCTCCCAAGGAGGAAAAAACTAGCATAACAAAAAGAGGTCTTAAAGGGCCCATGTCATGCTTTTCCGCTTATTACCCGTCCCCTTGTGTGTTATGAAGGTTTGTATGCATGTAAACGGTCTGCAGAGTCAAAAACCCTCAAAGTACACCCTGTAGCGAGTAAAACTCTAACACAGAAAATATCTGTCTATGCTGCCCCAGAACGCCTCGTTGGAGATTTCTCATTTTCCATTGTTTTCTTCCTGGGTTCTGTGACGTGTGAACACCCAAATCAACAACAAATGACCGGATTGGCCCAAATGGACCAATCCGCGGAGCACCTCACACACCAGGATCCCTTGGCTAACTTGCATAGAGCTCCCTGAACGTTGGTAATAGACGAGTTGGAATCGTGGAGAAATGCTCTCCGCAGACCCATTCTCACAGCGTTATAAACCTTTTTCTTACTCAATATCAAGCCACACTTATTGTTTTTACTTCGGCTGTGAGTGTTTGTGTGTGCTCTGGATGAGTTTCGCTTGTTCTCGCTGTATCGCCGACCCGGAAACCTGTCCGCTCCTCGCAGCAGCGAGCCTCGCAACGTCCCGACCAGAGCACACTGGGCTCACAGGGAGGGGGGGGGGGGGGCAGGAGCTCCAAGAAGCCGTTTAGGACAGAGAGTGAATACCTGGTGAATACACATACTATACAGAGATGCTGGATGAGAAACCAATGTGATTTTTGAAAATTGCACAATTTAAATCTATTTTAGTAGACCTCAACAATGGAAATATGATCAGTAGAAATGGCCATGACATGGGACCTTTAACAAAACCTGACATGAGTGAAAGCGATCCTTTCAGAGCTGAGGCTTGGCATGACCATTTGGGGAAAGAAACAAGACGAACTGACACAGGACAGGGGAGAGACAGGACTATTTAAACATGAGGTGAGTGGGAACAGGTGGAAACAATCAGGGGCGGGGCAGACACTGATGATGGCGGGAAAAACACACAGGGGGAGGAAGAAAACAGGTAAAACTAGAGGTAAATAAAAATAAAACAGGAAATGACAGACAAAATACATAAACATAACTAACACATTTGACGAGACACAACATTTCCTTTGTGGTATAGGTGTTTGTGCATGTTAATGGTCTGTAAAAGCTAAAATCCCAAAGTTGCCTCTAGAGTGAGTTTCTCTCCCACATTCATCAATAGTCTGATGAGTAATCTTTTCTCTTTTAGATTCAAGACTTTCCTTTTGGCTAACAGCTCATTAAAACACGGCTGTGAAAGGAAAGGTGAACATTTGCATGAAAGCTTTCCCACTGAAGTGTCATCATCAAGCCCACATGATCTCAAATCTCTTCAGATGTATCTCACTGCTGCTTAAGAAGTGCTGTGCCTAATAACATTCCTCATAAAGCCTGAAACAACGTCTTGCTCCAGTGCGCATAAAGAGCAGTTTGTGTTGAGGATGTTTTAATTACTGAGATATGAATAAAATGAATATCTTGTTGCGATGTCAGCTTGCAAAACAGGCCGTGATGAGTAAGTGGCATGTGAGTAATGATTTCAAAGAGAGCTTGTGACATTTTCCAGAACT